TCATCTCATACCTATTCATTCTTTCCTTTATTCCAAACTTTCCCGATTGATGATTGAATTCCTAAAAGACACAAGCATGAATTTATTATAGTCCTATCAACCACTTTAGTTAGAAAAATAGAATAAATTTGAAATATATTAGTTAGATCAGTTGGTCAGGGCAATTTACCCACTAAATTTCACCCCAAGTTTGATTTTTCTTCTTGTAAATTAGAGTAGTTTAGACGATAGCTTGTTAAAAGAAATTTCGATTTGTAATCATGTTTGTAAATAGGCCTTGAGCTTGTAGGTTTATTTTTGCATATCACTAAGGTTTTTTCTTTTGTTTCCCCCGGATATATCAGTAATCTTCTTAATTGAAAGAGGTTGAGATGATGCCACATCCATTTTCCACACCACATTCAAAAGATCTTCAACCTTCTGTGATCCATATCAAAGGTTATATAGGTAACTTCACTGACATGTCATTTCCCAACGAACTATCCCTCTCACGGAAGTGACCATCTTGAAAAGTCACAAGCCGTCCCCACCTCACACGTGGCTACAATTCCACGTAATCACATCGGTAACGTAACAATTCGAATAATTAAAAGAACATTCAAAATTTACACTATAGGCAACGGTCGGATTTTCTGTCCCACTCGTAGTCACAGCCGTCCGATCCTGCATCATGTTCGACATTTAAAGCCTGTTGCCTGAAGGCTGAAGCATGAGCACACATTTCTCTCTCCACAATACACAGTGAAAAGATACTTCCTTTTCTTAATTATTTTCTTCCATTTAGAGAGAGAGGGACAGAGACATTTTGTCATTTTCATTTAGAGAGAGAGAAATTTGAATGTGAAGGGGATTTTATACGTGTATATATTTCTCTTGTCTGGTTGTGTTAAAAAAAGCTCGAAAATTTGAAGTGGGTTCAGTTTGAAATTGAGCATCCTCAAGGTGTCGAAGATTCGTCTTCTATTTATCAGTCTGTGCCTGTTTTTTAATGGATTTTGACCGTTTCGTCCTGTTTCTCTAATAGCACACAGAAATCGTTTCTGGGTAGTTTCTGAGTGAGAAAGAGAGAGATTAAGATCCAGCTGCTCTTTGATTGCTGATTTTGGAAGCATTGCTGAGTTGGGCTGCAATTCGTAAAGAGAGGGGAAGAGGGTTTTAGAGAAAGGGAGGGGTTTGAAGGTCAATTTGATCTGGGTTGCTGACACTTGGTCACAGAAAAAACAGAGAGGTTTGAAGGGCAAGCTATAGTGGGTTGCTTTTTAAAGAAAAAAGAAGACACGTTTCTGTCTTTCTGAGTCTTAAAGGTTGTTTCTTGGGCTTGTTTTTTCATGCTTTCTTTCACCCCTCCACTTCAGAATGTAAAAAAGCTCATTTCTTTTTCATTTTCTCTGGATTTTGTGATAATCAGTTTTCACCGATACTTCATAGCTAGATATTTATCCCATTAATTTCAGTTCTGGGTATCATTGTTTCCCATTTGTGCTTGCAGGAACAGAAGGGACTGACAGCGAGAGAGAGAGAAAGAGAAGGGGGCATTGTCTCATTGCTTGTGGCTGTCAATGGTGGAACCATTTGAATTTTTAAGAAAAGTCAAATCAACTTGAGGTATTGTTTCAGAATTTTTTCTTTGAATTTTCCTTGAAAATAATTTGTGGGGTTTGGTCCATCTTGCTGAAGTTAAACACACTCTAGTTATACAACTTGGGATAGAGACTGGAACCTTCTCTTCAAAGTAAAGTCTAACTTCCTCTCTCTCTACCCACCTAGCTTCATTTATGAGGAAAAATGGCAACAAAGCTAAGAATCCCAACTTTCCCAGTCTCTTTCCAAGAAATCTTGACCCTTGGATGTCGATCAAAATCAAGTTAGTGAAATCCAGTAAGTTAATATGATATCACAGTCACCATGGTCATGGTTGAAAAAGTAAATTTGTAACAAAAGAAACATGTGCCAACTACGGCTTCTTAATTGGACGGCACTGCTTAGCCTTTAAAAGCAACTTCTTTTATTGTCATCAACAATTTCATATTATAAAGTTCAATGATCATTATAAATCATATTTTTTTAGGATTTTAATTTTCGTTTGGGCATTTAATGATCACTTGCCAACAGTAAGATGGACTCCTTGGGCATCTTTTAGGTATTTCCATATGGTTGGTCGGATATGGTTTTCAGCAAAGCAAGCTTGCTGTGATCATACAAGATTCTCGAAGCTCTTGATGTTGGCCCAATTGTTTTATTATAGCTGATATTATTTTATTGCAGCCCTGATGCATAATTTATGTTTTTATGATTGCAACTGCTCCACTGCCTTCTTAGTTTTATATGCACATATCTTTACTTTGCATTTTCTTTTCCGTTTAATCCTTACAAGGCTTTGTTTCCTTCAAATTTCAGTTGGTAGAGCTCTGGTCGCCAATTTGATCTATACCCTTATTGAAATCATGATGGAGAATGGTGGCAATGAGGTTTTGACCGGTACCCGGTCGGCTGAAGAATGGTTATCACATGCACGGGAGCTTGTTCCATTGGCACTGAATAAGGCAAGAGAGGTTAAGGGATTTCCAGGTCGGTGGAAGATGATCATTTCAAAGTTGGAGCAGATCCCGTCACGTTTATCAGACCTGTCTAGCCATCCATGCTTTTCCAAGAATGCTCTTTGTAAGGAGCAATTGCAGTCAGTTTCTAAGACACTGAAGGAGGTTATTGAATTGGCTGAGTTTTGTGTGGGGGAGAAATATGAAGGAAAACTTAGGATGCAGAGTAATCTTGATGCGTTGTCTGGGAAATTGGATTTGAATTTGCGAGATTGTGGGCTTTTGATCAAGACTGGGGTGCTTGGTGAGGCTACTTTGCCTTTAGCCATGGCTGGTTCTTCAACTGAACCTGAGGCTGCTGCTCATGGTAACATAAGGGAACTGCTTGCACGGCTTCAGATTGGGCACTTGGAGGCAAAACATAAAGCTCTTGACAGTCTTGTTGAGGGCATGAAAGAGGATGAAAAGAATGTATTGTCAGTTATGGGTCGTAGCAATATTGCTGCTTTAGTCCAATTGCTCACTGCAACATCTCCTCGTATCCGTGAGAAGACTGTAACTGTAATCTGCTCGCTTGCTGAATCTGGAAGTTGCGAAAATTGGCTTGTTTCTGAAGGGGTTTTGCCACCTCTAATAAGGCTTGTTGAGTCTGGCAGTGCAGTGGGTAAAGAGAAGGCTACAATTTCGCTTCAAAGATTGTCAATGTCAGAAGAAGCAGCCCGTGCAATTGTTGGGCATGGTGGGGTTAGGCCACTGATTGAGATATGTCAGACTGGTGATTCTGTTTCTCAGGCTGCTTCTGCTAGCACTTTGAAGAACATATCAGCTGTCCCAGAAGTTCGGCAAACTCTAGCTGAGGAAGGGATTGTAAAAGTTATGATTAATCTCCTTGATTGTGGAATTTTATTGGGTTCCAAAGAATATGCAGCAGAGTGCTTGCAGAATCTCACTGCATGCAATGACAATCTAAGGAGGTCTGTAATTTCAGAAGGTGGAATTCGGAGCCTGTTGGCTTATCTTGCTGGTCCATTGCCACAAGAATCTGCAGTCGGGGCATTGAGGAATTTGGTTGGCTCAGTTTCTATGGAGGTTTTGGTTTCTCTTGGTTTCCTCCCATGCGTGGTTCACGTGCTTAAGTCCGGTTCACTAGGTGCACAGCAGGCTGCTGCATCCGCAATTTGCCGGGTTTGCAGCTCAACAGAGATGAAAAAACTGATCGGTGAAGCCGGGTGCATTCCTCTCCTTGTGAAGATGCTTGAAGCTAAATCAAACAGTGCCAGAGAGGTTGCCGCACAGGCAATTTCAAGTTTGATGACCCTTTCACACAATTGCAGAGAAGTGAAAAGGGATGACAAAAGTGTGCCATATCTGGTCCAACTGCTTGATCCCAGTCCACAAAACACAGCGAAAAAGTACGCAGTTTGTTGCCTTGGATTGCTCTGCTCAAGCAAGAAATGTAAGAAGCTGATGGTCTCGTATGGAGCAATTGGGTACCTCAAGAAGCTCACAGAGATGGACATTCCCGGAACCAAGAAGCTACTTGAGAGATTGGAGAGAGGGAAGCTGAGAAGTTTCTTCACAAGAAAATAGAGGGAAGAAATGGAAATGTACCTCTTGTAAGCCCTTTTTTTAAAATCTCTTTCTGCATATGTAGTTGTTTCATGGTCTATATGAAACGTAGTTTATCGTATTGAACTGGAATGCGCAAGCCTGGTAATATATGTTATGTTGTCTATGTTCTATTATTTAAAGTAGAAAATTTTATGAAAAATATAATCTCGACAAGTCTGTCTATTATGCTTTTCAAATTTGGAGCTTTCTGCCATTAATTTGTAAATGTTTCTCGGTTGCCATAACAGCTTATTCATCTCCTCCAGTTCTTGAAATTAATCAACTCCAAACAACCCAACAGCTAACTAATTATGATCTGATGAATCATAAGATCAAATCAGATCAGATCATCAATTCCTTCAATCCAAATATCCAATGGATGATCTGTAGTGGATCTATGCAGATCAACGATAAGTTGAAAAGGTGATCAAAGAATATTGAATTTGTGGTATAAAGAAAGAAAAACAATTCGAGTGCGAAGTAGGAAATAAAAAGAAAACCCTTGTTGCCCAAGCAAGCAGGCAGCGAATCTATAATTACGTCTATAATCCACCCTTCTTTTCCACCAACCCCCCTCTGCCTCCCTCCCTCCCTCTCTAACAAAAGAGAAGAAGAAAATAAAAGAAACAGAGAGAGAAACAAAGGGTATTCATTTCATTGGAACCCAAAAAATCAAAAGGAGTGTTGAATTTGAATTAGAGGAATATTAGAGATGATGAATCAAAGCAAATTAAATTAAAGGTTACTAAACTAACTAATTAAGATTCTACATACAAGATGAATCATCTGATGGATTCATCAATCCCTCCAAATATCTAATGCACTGATTTTCATCTTCATTTCAGTTTAAATTCAGTCGACCACACAGAGGTTCTGATACTCTTTGTCAGCTATGGCTGCTTCCATGAGATGGCGCCGGCCAATTTCCCCACCATTGTCCAAGAAGGACTTAATCAATGTGTCGGAGATGCCAGTCAACAGTGTCACCCCTGGATGAGGTTCTTCTATACGGCACATCCACCCCCCTAAGTCGTAAATCTGCCAAAGCAAAATGTGTGGCATCGCATCATCCCCATACCCTTGCTCCTTAAATTTGCTCCGCGTTTCCTCATACAGAGTCTTCCAGGATGTGCTGCAGCCACCAAATCTTACGTGGTCTGTGAACACAAACACCTTCTTGATCATCTGCTCTGCCTTCAAGTTCTCATTCACAGCCACTTCCAGAATCAAATCACACACCTTCTGAAAATCAACACCCTGGTTGTGCTTGCTGATGCATGTCCTCATCATGAACTCGTACTTGGACTTGAGATCACAGCCTTGTACGGAATGCAGCAGCGGCAGCTCATTGGGTAATGGACCGAGACTGATCACCTTTTGTTTCCATGCCGGCTCTTCAGTCAGTTCAGACACCAAAATTCCCAAGCTCGCCGCCAATTCTATGATTGGTACGCCCATGAAATCGGTGATGTTACAAACTGCCAAGCAGTTTTTAAAAATGCCCGAACCCTCCTTCCCCTGCTTTTGCTTTAGGTACATGTCCTCCACCATTGCCTTCCACTGAAGCTCAGCTGCTTCGCCGACATCCTTATCTTTTACATATCTTATGATATCATTTGGAAGCAATGCATTCGGCTTTATGATGCTGCTGCCGCCTGCTTTCACCTCCTCCAAATACTTCTTAACCACACAGGGCTTCCGAAAGAAATACATGCGTCGATGATGCTCGTCCAAGGGCTCCAAAAACTCCTTTCTAAGGAGTTCCCACTCTTCTGATTGATCCGACTCTGGAGGGAAAAGTCTACTCCCAAGGCTTTCAAACAGCAAAACGGCGAGTCTGGTGTGGTCGTCTTCGCTGTTGTTGGGAGTGCAACAGGCTGCAGCCCCGGTAACAAAAAGAGTAGTACAATCTTCTTTATCATCATCTTCGGATGGCGGTTTCAATTCCAATTCCATCCTTAGCCTGTGCTGCTTCAATTTGTCAATATCAGACTTCAATTGCTCCGCCAAGAGATCCATAACGCGGTCATGTAATAACTTATAGCCCCGGTCATGTTGGAGCCTCTGCGCTGCAGTGTCTTGGCCTTGTTGTAGAAGAAGTCCATAGAGAATCTCGACAAGGTCCCACAAACGAGCTAACGAGCCAGAGCTGGCAAAGGAGGGAACATTGCATAATAGCGTCTTGGGGTGATTGTGGTGGAGCCAAAATGCGGCCATGTAGAAGGCCTCCGGATAATGTTTTCCGGTTTGAACAGAGGCAGAATTGAGATTGAAGATGAGTTTGAGGGTGGTTAGGGGATTGTGGGACCAGGCCACAGGCAGCAATTGCTTCAGATAGATGATGGAGGCCTGCTTCTTCTGCAGCTTTTGCATGGTTTCTTCATAGGTTGGCTCTGGTGGTGTCACGTGGAAAAGCCAATCCGTGCTGCACCAGTCTGGCGACGTCACATGGAAATACAGATCATGGCAGGGATCACCGTAGGAAGAGAAGGAGATGGAGGAGATGTTCTTGGCCATGGCCATGTCAGCGTTGGAGTTGGAAGCCATTAATCTTCGAGTTGTTGAAGTTGGAAGTGCAGGAGCAGGAGGAGCCAATACTTTGAGAAGCCTGGTGAAAGTCGAACATACTTGCAAGGGCACTGGTTTCTTCATCTCTTAATTGATCTGGTTCAAATTCAACACTCTCTGTGTTTGGCGTTAAATTTTCACACACAAAAAAGAAAAAAAATTAAATAAAATTGATTGCATCCCAAAGATAGATTTGGTGGCCATTAAGAGTAGATTGCAATCAAAATTAATTGATTGAAATATAGAAGACAAGTATCAGGAGAAGGCTTGCAAGCAAAGAAAAAAGATGTCAAGTAATTAATTCTCTGTGCTCGTTTAATTTGCATGCAACATTGTCTAAACTTTTATGTGACAAATATAATTCTTTCTTTTTGTAAGTAGGAAGACAATCGTTTTAAAACCAAAATTTCTAGTCGATCTTTGAAGCATAGTTACCACCACCTCAGACATAGATTTTGTTGATCTATTGTGAGTCTGAAAATTAAAAAGCATAGGAGACATATCGATCACTGTCAACGTTTTTAAAAACATGGAGAGAGATAGGAGCTGATAGCCCCTATATTTATTGCCAAACTAGGAGTCTTGTTTGTGCGATCGTAGGTTGTCTTTTCATTCATGTATCTTTTCTTTTCTTCAAAATACCTACCTACTCTACCACTATATAGACCATAGTCTATCGTCTATTTTAACAGTGTGGGTCATTTTAAGGTCCCATTAGTGAGATTGGGCCATGGACTTACCCATTTTCAATTTGCTAATGGCATGACCTAATTTGTTATTTTGATGCACCCATTCACATGGGCCTGCAAGACTGTATTAACTTCTTGATTAGCCATAATTCTACAATTTTACTCTTTTGTCAACCACCGTACAGGGGAAATATTAGTCTTATGTGGAGCTCAGGTCAAGTCAATACCTACAATAATTTTTGGCGTGGAACTCGGGATTCTCAAGTCTGTGAAGTTAAAGTCTTATGTGGAGCCACACACACTCATTCATTCTTCCAACGAATACCAAATTTCCACAAGTAATTTCCCCAATTCATTGAAATACATATGGAAAGACTACCTAATTAACTTTATGGAAAGACTATAATTCAATAGATATATATATTCTTTGTTCCAAATTAATAATTCCATGCTTCATTCAATTACTAGCAGACGCAGATCATGGATGTGGTCCTGTTTTGCGTGTTTATCTTGTATAAATATGTGGCTTCATTAGTCTCCAACTCAATGAACTTCCTGCTCAGACCCAACAAATAAGAAAAAGGAAAAAGAAAAGTCTAAGTCAATAAGTATGTCGTTTGGAGTTTTATGCATACTATTCAAGCTCGTAAAGATTTTCTTTTTTTATAAATATGTGGCTTCATTATTTGTTGTGGCTCAGACCCAACAAATAAGAAAAAAGAAAAAGAAAAGTCTAAGTCAATAATTATGTCCCTAGGCCTGTATGTCGTTTGGAGTTTTATGCGTACTATTCAAGCTCGTAAAGATTTTCTTTTTTTTCCTCCTATATATTGTGATACAAGCTCGGAGATAACCATATATCAATAATTAAACCCTAAACAATTGGTTCCTGTTGATCTTGCATTTCAATCTTTTAACATGCAGGGCCACGGAAGGTGCTTGAAACTCTTTCTTGCATTTGCGCTGCTTTTGCTACAGTACGCCCAAGGAGGAGAGGTGGACCACAGTCAGAGGAATACTAACGCGACCAGGAGGTGCATCGAGAAGGAAAGGCAAGCACTCCTTGCATTCAAACGTGGCCTCCTGGTGGATGAGGACCATTACCTCTCTTCATGGGGTTCAGAAGCCCAGAAACAAGATTGTTGCAGATGGATAGGCGTCTCTTGTAGCAACCAAACAGGTCATGTTATTGGACTTGATCTTTCATATTCTTTATTGGAAGGTAAGATGATTAGTCCTAAACTGTTTGAGTTGCAGCATTTACAACATTTGGACCTTACTGAGATTGATTTCAATGGGAGCCAATTTCCAAATTTCTTTGGTTCTCTAACCAATTTAAGATACCTTGCTCTGTCTTCGACTAATTTTGGAGGCAAGTTTCCAAGTCAGGTCGGAAATCTTACGACCTTGGTGTATTTGGACTTGAGTGATAATTCCTTTACAAATGTAGAAAATCTCAACTGGCTTCCTCCTCTTTTGTCATTAAGATATTTGGACTTGAGTTCCGTGAATCTCAGCAATGCTTTCGATTGGCCGGAAGCCGTTAATAAGCTTCCTGAACTAACAAACTTGACACTACGCTACTGTGATCTTCCTCCTCCAATTCTTTCCACTCTTTATTACATAAACTTTTCTCAATCTCTTGTTAGCGTTGAACTTTCGGGCAACGATTTGAGTACTTCTTCAATATTTCTATGGTTGTCCAACTATAATGCCAGCCTTGTTTATCTTGGCCTCGCTGATAACCTTCTAACTGGTTCAATTCCTGATGTTCTTGGAAACATGAGCTCTCTGGCACATCTTGATCTCCAAAATAACCAACTTGAAGGAGGGGACCCACATTCTTTTGCCAGGTTATGTAGTTTGCAAACATTGTTTCTCTTAAACAATGATCTCAGTGGACAACTTTCTAAGTTTGTTCAAATATTATTCCCTACATGCGCTCAAAACTCATTGGAGCAGTTGTATCTCTCTGGGAATAATCTTGCTGGGTCAGTACCTGATCTTACAAACCTTTCATCTTTGGAAGACTTGGAGCTTGGTTTCAATCAATTAAGCGGAGGAATATCTGAAAGTATAGGGCTAATGTCTAAGCTCCAATATATTGATTTTGGGATGAATTCTTTGGAAGGAGTGATTTCAGAAACTCATTTCTCAAAACTCTCCAAATTACAGTATTTGGATTTATCTTCTAACTCGCTAGTCTTAGACATCCATGCTGATTGGATTCCTCCTTTCCAATTGGGGGAAATATATTTGAGGTCTTGCAAGATGGGCCCGGATTTCCCAAAGTGGCTTCAAACTCAAAAAGAATTCTCATCCCTTGATATTTCTGATGCTGGAATTTCTGACATCTTTCCAAGTTGGTTTTGGAGTTTATGTCGCAATGTGACAATTATGAATCTCACAAGCAACCAAATTAGAGGTACATTTGCAAATTTGACATTGGAATTTTCAGATTTCCCTACCCTACTACTGAGTTCGAACAAGTTGGGAGGTCCAATCCCCTCATTTCTATCAAAAGCCTTACATCTGGATCTCTCTTATAATAAACATTCAGGGTCAATTTCATTCTTGTGTTCAAGTGCAGCTATTAATTTAGGCTTTCTTGACCTCTCAAGCAACAATGTTTCTGGACACGTTCCAGATTGCTTGACACATTTGGAGAATCTAGTCATGCTTGATTTGAGTAACAATGCTTTGTCCGGAAAAATTCCTACAGCAATAGGCTCTGTATTTCGGATTGAAACACTCAAATTAAGAAGCAATAGATTTGTGGGACAATTGCCTTCCTCGTTGAAGAATTGCACAAGTTTAGTAGTCATTGATGTTGGGGATAATAAATTATCTGGACCAATACCTGAATGGTTAGGGGTTAGCTTAAAGAAATTGGTTATCCTGATGCTTTCGTCTAATCACTTCAATGGAAGCCTGCCCTCACAATTATGCCATCTAACACACATTCAAATTTTGGATTTCTCCATGAACATCATCTCTGGAAGTATACCCAAATGCCTCACCAATTTAACTACTCTGGCTCAGAAAGGAAATCCAAGTTTGAACATCTCACATGATTACGAGAACTCTAATATCAATTATGCAGATTTTTATTACGATGATGCAACCTTCATGTGGAAAGGAGAAATGCAGACATACAAAAGTACTTTGGGGCTCGTGAAGAGAATTGATCTGTCAAGCAATAAATTAATAGGGGAGATTCCAAGTGAAATCACTCATCTAGTTGGGTTGGTTTCTTTAAACCTATCGAGAAACCAATTAATAGGTCAAATAACTCCAGAGATCGGAAACTTGCAGTTATTGGATTCTCTTAATTTGTCACGAAACCACATAGATGGAAGAATTCCAACAAGCCTTGCTCGGATAGATCGTCTTGGTTTCTTGGACTTGTCATATAACAACTTGTCTGGCAAAATTCCAGTCGGGACTCAGCTCCAAAGCTTTGATCCCTCTTTTTATGTTGGGAATCTACAACTCTGTGGACCTCCACTTAAAAAGATGTGTGCTGATGAAGTGGAAAAAGGTCCAAGTGAGCAAACTGACTTCATCTACCAAGAGGACAAGGATGAGCTAATAACACTGGGATTCTACATTAGTACGGGGATTGGATTTGCTGTTGGATTTTGGGGAGTTTGCGGCACCTTGATATTTTCAAGGTCATGACTCATGGAGATACGCAAACTTCAAGTTCTTGAATGGTTTAAATGATTGGCTTTTTGTGAGGATAGCTGTGTTGAAGCGGCAATTGAAGGATGCTTAACTACTAAAGATGAACGGTAAGTAATCTCTCTTTCTCTCTCATAGACTCAATAGTTTATTATTACTTTATTGACTTAATCAACATGCATGCATGATTAATTTGGTTTTTCTAATTTGTTATATTCAAGCAAACTAACCGGTCTTTTTTTTTTCTCTCCATTTTATCGTTTTATCCAGCATCTTCGGAGACATCTTCTCTTCAGTCAAATGGCTCTGTAATGGTAGTTGTATTGTAGTAGCAGGAAATTGATTTTTATAGCAGGAGAGCATGAGAAATGCATGCCAACAATTAATAATAAAATCCACATATTCTCAGTCTGCACATATGATGGATTTTTGTATATTCTTTTTTTTGGTTCAAACTCAAATCTCATCACATATTTCTTGCGGTAGAATAAGGCAGGAAAAAAGAAGAAGACAAGTTCAACTTCTTCTTCTTTTTCTTTTTCTTTTTTCAAAAAAGAAAAAAAGACAAGTTGAACTTCTTCAAAGAGTTTACAATAAGTTAAAGTTATTTATGTTTATGTTGAATCTATATAACTGAAATTATTAATTAAATGAGGATAATATGATTTCATACTTTTTCATATTAAAAAATTTAAAATTAAATAAGATAATAGGTCTTATTTTTATGGAATACAACTACCTTTTTTTTTTAAATTCTAAAATAAAACCACTTGGCTCACGCGTGTGCCAAGGGACTAGTAATAATAAGTTATCAATGTTATCCTCTCATTGATTTTTGAAAAATTAAAATAAAATCCATCATATGGGTAATTATATTCAAGGGCTAACAACATTTTAACCTCTGAAGGTTTAGGGTTATTCGCACTCCTTTCATCCTTCCTTTTCATCCTTCATTTTGCATACTATCAAATTTCCTACGTTCTTTTCATCATTCCTTTTGCATGCCAATATGTAGATGTCACAAATGCTATCCGAAAATATTAGGGTCTGATTAGTACTTTAATTGAATTAACCAATATATTTAAAGAATATACTAAAAATTAATTAAATATTGAGAGATCTATGATTTATGGAGACGGTAAAACTATAATCCAACACTAATTTTTTAAATTAAAAAAACTATAAATTGTGGATTAAATTTTATGAGTGGGCTATGTTTAGCCCTCCACTACTGGCCTAAATATAATTTTGTGCTCTAGAATCACTTTTTCTATTTATTTATTAAAATTTATAACAAAAAAGGTACCTCCGATGTAAAGTATGAATAAGCATTGACATTCCAACTTGTTTCTCTTTTTAAGAGAGAGAATTTGGGTTATGTTTTGGGATTGAATCCAACCCAACCAGTAATAACATCAGTCTCATTGATTGTTTCGTCCAAAAAAAAAAAATCAATCTCATTGATTGGACGACAGGCCTGTCTTTAAATTTGGGCTGTGGAGTTTTGTCCCGAATTCAAATCTGGGCAGACCCAAACAATTGGATTTGGAGTTAGGAGCCCAAATTCAAATTAACTCCTACACAAACAAACGGCCCAAAAATTATTTAAATTCTCAAATTTTCTTCCGCAAAAAAATTAAAGACTTGCAACTAAACATAATCAAATAGAAATATTGTGCTCCAAACGACAAATATCATATAAATCATACGCAACCGAAACATATCAAATACCTCTGAAGTTCTTTTTCTCTTTTTTAATAAAATACAAATCGCAACCTCTCATTGATTTATGAAAATTTGAAATAGAATACAACCTATGTAAATTCGTAATTATGTTCAATCTTAATCAGTTTGAATGGTTACAAGAATTATTACTATACCTTTATACTTCAAAAATATTATTTGGTGGACCAAAATGATACTAGGGCAATAGTTGGATGACTATTTCTGTCAAAAATCCTTTGATTTTTTAAAATGAAAATAAAAGGAAGAATGCTTTTATGATTATATATTTCATAAAATGACATGTAGTTCACTTCAGAATAAACTCTAAACAAGCATCTCTGTCAATGTCTTCGAATGATCCGTGGTTCAAGGTAATCGATTGTATTTCAAGGGGATGATGTTATTATGCATCATTCGCTTTCTTTACTTCCATAGCATCCCTCATGTTGGATTTAGTCATGTCTTATGTTTAGTGGAGTGCTAGACTAAAGACTGGCTTGGATTGGATTGATCAAGTCATGTCCTATGTTTAGTGGAGTGCTAGACTAAGGGGGACTAGAGGCAAAATAGTGCTATTTTGCACTATTCTATGTTTGGTGCAATCCAGGGCGGACTATATTTCTAAATTATAAAATAATTACTTTGCTACTTGCTTATATATATATATATATATATATATATATATATATATATATATATATATATATATATATATATATATATATATATATATATATATATATATATATATATATATATATATATATATATATATATATATATATATATATATATATATATATATATATATATATATATATATATATATATATATATATATATATATATATATATATATATATATATATATATATATATATATATATATATATATATATATATATATATATATATATATATATATATATATATATATATATATATATATATATATATATATATATATATATATATATATATATATATATATATATATATATATATATATATATATATATATATATATATATATATATATATATATATATATATATATATATATATATATATATATATATATATATATATATATATATATATATATATATATATATATATATATATATATATATATATATATATATATATATATATATATATATATATGGGACGTTTGGTACGCATGACTAGATTGAATATACTAAATTCAAAGACTGGCTTGGATTGAATTGACTTGAATTTAGTTATGTCCTATGCTTGGAGGAGTGTTGGACTAAGAGAGACTAGAGGCAAAAATAGTGCTATTTAGCACTATCCTATGTTTGGTGCAATCCAGAACGGACTATATTTCTAAACTTTGAACATTAAACCCTTTTTTTTTTTTATGTTCTTAAATGTGGATTATAAAAAATTACAAACTTATAATTACAAAAATTATAACTAAGAAACAATTCCAAAACTAATTTAACTATTATCAAATTCTTCAACCAATATAAATTCAAAAGTCATCAAGTACCAATAACATATAAACTGGATGCAAGGAGATCTCTGCCTTCACTTTAATCCTTCAAAAGATGCACAACCACAATTCTTCCAAAACAGAGATAGAATTTGCACATCGTCGTGCTTCCAGACACCTAATACTAATACAACCAGAGCACAAAGTTCAAAATTTGGATTCCTCCATGGATTGGTAGAGAGAGAGAACATGTCGACTTGTTGGAAAAACTTTGTGGCCAAGGGCAAGCTGAATCTCGAGTGGGGATTAATCTCACACATCGATTGTGAGGACACCTCGTGGTATTTATATAATAAAAAAAAATCTATAGAAAATATGCAGAATTTTTTTACTTATCATTAGAACCATTATAATAATCAATTAATGCAAATATAATAACGGAAAACATTTTGCAATAATATATGAACTTTGCCTAGTTACATGTAGTTTTATTATATTATTGCTTTTAAAAAAAATTATTTTTAAAAAAAAAGAAGGAAAAAAAAGAAGAAAAAAAAGAATGGAAAAATTAATACAATAACGGCAAAGTGGAGGCTTCGGAATAAAAGTAATTCGATGATAGAAAAGAATTATTCCAATTTTTGGTTGTATCCAAACAGTCGATATTCAGATGTAATGCCTGCCACTAACGTCCAATTTTTGCTCCATCTATATCACCACGAACGATAACAGAAAATTGGATAAGTCATTAAAAAAAAATTAAACTAACAAATAACAAATAAGTTCGGCCAAGAAAAAATAAAAAACCAACAGGGTACCCTTATCTTATTCATTTTCTTCCTTTTTTTTCCTTTTTTTTCCTTTTTTTTTTTCGGCGATGGATAACTTTCAGTGTACTGTGTACCGAAATTAATACAACCAAGCTCATCCAAAAATAAAATAAACTAAAATACAACCAAAGTTACAAAGTAGAGGTGAACCATCTTGTAATTTCTAATATTAGTGTATAGCAGCAAACAAGATGCAATCTTGTTTGCTTTTATAACACGGATGGTGAGAAAATAAAAACATTTGATGATGCATTGAACATTTTATTTTTCGTTAACTCAAAGTCAAAGGGGTTAATATCTGATGAACGAGTTTTGCAGAAATATATATATATATATATATATATATATA